ATCGCTCGACACTATCGCCGCCACTATGTGAGATTTCGAACTATGGTACGCCATCTAGTTGTGAGATTTTTTTGGACCTCGTTTTGCCCCATAAGGTTGGGCATCTTCCCAGCGTAAGCGTAATATATCAATCAACGATCCTTCTAAGACCTCTTTGGGAAGTGCACATTACGCCTCAAAAAAACATCCTCATGCCTACATTTCTAAAACATCCCAAAACATTCCAGGGATACCTCTCAGTAGGCAAACAAAGAAATGCCACAGAAGAACAAAAACAATACTTCAATATCCTTCAAAGACCTCTTTGGTCAGTGCATATTACGTCTCAAAATAACATCTTCATGCTAACATTTTCAAAACATCCCAAAACATCCCAGGGATGTTTGTGCTCGCTGGGTTGTGAACAGTCGAGATACAAAATAGTGGCACAGTATTTATGTACGTTCACAATTCTGTACAAAACATGTGAAATAGCTAGTCTTATCTCGAATAAAATAGTTGTACCCATAACTCTTTCGAAAATCTGTCAACGTTGTATTTCAAGAAACCTAAAACTGAGCATGCGCACATCACGAAACAAGTCGCATATATATGCGACATGCTTTTCGCTGTGAAACTTGAGGGGAATTGGCATTCTAGTCCAGTCGAGGACATTGTTTGCGCCCGAGCGATAGCGAGGGCTTGCAAAATAGTCCGAGACTGGTCAAGAACACTGCCTCCCGAGTTTTGTATTATATTTTTTCTACTCCAGTTCCCTTAGATTAAAAAAAATGTTTTTCTACTCCTTACTCGGTAAGTACTTCATTTTGATACTGATTTGAGGGAGGAAAACACGTTCTACCTCCCTAGGGAGGTAAATATTTACTTACCTCCCTAAGGAGGTAGAACGTGTTTTCCTCCCTCAAATCAGTATCAAAATGAAGTACTTACCGAGTAAGGAGTAGAAAAATTTTAATAATACCGTCATGGACGCCGTCAGGAAAAAATTCGGAGGGTGCCTTTCTTTTAATGGAAAGCATTGCATTAAAGTTAAATCAGGAATCCTCTGACCAATTTCCACTACGAGTGTGATTTAAAAATATCATAAAATAATACGAAAAGTATATGAAGTGATTTAAGGGTCATTTTATAAGTACCTAACCAAATCAATCTTTTGGAATATATATTCCATTGAAGAATTGAATAAACTAACTGAAGGAAACATATTTAGTAAGTATACGGAACCTGATCCTAAAGAAATATACTGTTAACAGAAATTGAAACTCTTAGATGAATCAATTAAAATTCAAAAAAACTTCATAATACAAATATTTTTTTTTGTATATCGCTACTTCAAAGTTGGGAACCAACTCCCCAGAAGTGGAAACTTGTGCGGGGTTAGGAAGAGCGGGACCTACAGCTTATAGTGGAATCCGAACCACTTCTAGGGCATCAAGGTGCTGCCAGGATTACAACCATGAATCACACATTTTAAAGAAAAATGCTCAGCCGATAGCCGGATTCGAACCGACAGTACCTCTGCATCGTGACCGGCTATCTAGCGAATTTCAGCGCATAGACAAACTCGGCCACAGAGCCCCATAAATGTATACAGGTACTTCAAAAGTAAGTCGGCACCATTGCTAATATGGTTATTATTTGAGCTATCAATACATTCAAATATGGATACAAACTAGTACTATTTTTTCCGCTGTGAATGACATGTCACAAGAATTCATAGAAAAAGTTGCCAGGATCACTTTTTTTCGTTATTTAGCGACATTTAATCACCTATTGTTGTTTTTTTCTTTACGATCAAAATATCTACAAAAAATTACTTCAACAATGTGAAAAATTCCGACACATCGCAAAATGAGTTCAAATTTCGCAGATCTACCATGAAAACACTAAATTTAGCGATGCTAAGACGGCAACACTGCACGTTAATTGTGATCATTGCAAACAATCTGCAAGAGGAAAACATTGGTAGAGTTGAATAGTTGATCATCCATCGCGTATACCGTTGAACTTTGTGCTGGTCGACAGTAATGTTTTTCCACATGTGTATGTATTTTTGAGCTGAATTTATGCATTTGAAGACCACAAGGGAAAAAGGGAGAATGTCTCAATATAGTGGAATTTGACTTCACACCGCCATCTGATAGCCTAACCACTATATTTTAGTATAAACAGAAGTCCATAGCAATAAGGCAGCATAGTCAGCTCACAGTCAGATCGCTTCATTAGTATCTCAGGTGTTTCCAAAGGCTCGATTTTGGGATCGTTGCTCTTTGTTATGTTTGTCAATGATATTGATGATTACCTCAAAGATGCAAAATTTCTTCTATATGCAGATGACTTGAAAGTTTTTATGAAAATAATCTCAGTAGAGGATACAAAAACATTTCAATGTATTATTAATGAGATTACTGAGTATGGCAATGATAATGACCTTTCACTACATGAATCGAAATGTAAAATATACAAGAAGAAAAAAAGAATTCCTTGTAAACAATACTATCAACGATGTTGATCTGGAAATATTGGATGAAATCAGAGATCTGGGTGTACTTTTTACAAGGAATTTTTCATTCAATGAACATGTCAAGTGCCTTAGCAGGGAGTGCTATAGAAAACTAGGTTTCATAATGAGATCCAGTAAGGATTTTCGGATTTTCAGTATCAAACTTGCATAATGCTTTTTAACTCATATAACAGATCAAAGTTGGAGTACTGTTGTGTTATATGGAATCCTGAGACAGAATTATATTCTTATATGCTCGAAAAGATTCAGTAGAAACTTCTGAGATCTATCCATTTGAAAAAATATGGTGTATATCCAATGAGAGTATCATATGAACACCAAAGGATTGACTTCAACATAGAGACTTTGAGTAAACGGCGTGAGAATACTCAGATCTTGTTTATTTTTGAAATCTTACATAATTTGATTAATGTACCTGACTTATTGATGAATATTCACATAAATGTACCTGATATAAGGCTGAGATCCAAAAATACTGTTTTCAAAATATGTACTGTGAGTTCTCCTATCAGCTGCTCAACAACTTTCAACAACTTTTTAAAAACATGTGAAATTGATACTGGAATATCTCCAAAATTTCACTTCTCTCTCACCTGTGATATATTCAAGTTAACTATTTCAATATTTTTTATTGTTTTTGTTATTTTGATATGTAATGCTAAACTAGGTAAAACTAATTGTGATATGACTTGAGAGTCTCTCAAATGTATAACGCATATAGTTTTTAGTTTTAGCTTTAGTTAATTCCATTTTCCATTTTCTTCACCTACCTTCCTAACTGATACATTTCATTAGACACAGTCTGTTTGTAATGAGTATAAATAAATGAATAAACAAATAAAATAAATAAATAAATAAATAAATATGCTCGTTCGTAAATACGTTCACATGGAAAAAACGCGTAATGTCCACTTCAAAAATTTGAAGAAAGGGGAACGTCCAATCTTAGTGCTTACTTGTTTACAGATCCCATTGTGATTTAAATAGATTTTTTTCACACTGTCAAAAGGTCAAAGTGAACTCTCATGCGAACAAAATATGAGAGAAAACAATACGGTCACCTTTTTCTCATCTCTTGGAGCGTAACAAAGGGAATCCCTATGATGTTCGGGGAACATTGTGGGTACCTAGGGAGGATAGGAAGAGGAGGTAGGTATTGGGATTTTTTTCAACTTTTGGAGATTATAAGTTCTTGGGAATACTCTGTTAGGCAAAAATTCCAAAGGTTTGCCGTTCTATGTATAAACTGAGGGGTAAACAACTGTTCATAAAAGTGTACACCATATTTAAAGTATGTGATATTCGTAAGTAATGAAGATATTTAGAAAATATTTCAAAGTAATTAATGTAATTAAGAAGTACTGAAGAGTAATTAAAAAGGATTTGAGATTTGATCAAAGAACTTAATATTCAAGATACTTTGAATGGCATTGAAAAGAATCTAATGATATTATGAAGTAATTTGAAGTATATAATGAAGGAAACTCGGAGTTCAACATAAAATAGTATATCTTGATTTTTCTTTCAAATCATTATTTTTTATCTACCGGAGCTATTGAACGTTCCTCGGAATGAGGAAATTTTGTGCATATGGAGGGTTGAAAGCATGACGAACAATATTATGGAATTAGTTTTCTTCCAAAAAAATCTTAATATGATTTCATGAGAAACGACCCCATTATATATTTCAATAAAAAAGAAGGCCACTATGTCCAAAAGGCTGTTAGTCACTGAAAAACTGGTAATTTACAAATAATTAAAATAATAGAAAGATTTGGAAAAGTAATCATGTTCTTGAAAACTTAGGGTGTACACCATATTTAAAGAGGTGTTTGCCCCTCGGTATAAACGATTTGGTACAGAGTTGTTCGACATATTTCGCAGTTGACGACAAAAAGTTGTGTTGACTGGGCTTGTCGAGTATGTCTGAGTGATGGAAATAAAATAATGAGATTGCTACATGATAATTCCTACTCATATCGCGTCGAATTTATGAAAAAAATCAACAAATTATAGAGATATTAGCTGCACTATATGACAACTTACCGCTCATTAGGTAGTCAGGCAAGAATGGAGAAATATACCAGAGCAGATAATTGTGAGTGAACAATCCAGTTTTTTGACAATTTATTTGGACATTCCCCATTTTTCCCTTTCTTTGAACTCATTTTTTGTTTCCGATGATTTTTCCATTCAAATATGATTGTTATTTCTAGTTGTTCAACTATATAATGTATAATGAGCAATACATTATACTCCATCAAATGAATACAGGTGGTTTGATTTCACAGTTTCCTTCAACTTTCAAAAAGTAAGGAAGTTTTGAACTTTGAAATGCGATTTTCTCGAAACTTACTTTTTGTGACATTCACCCTTTTTCCCCTGTGGTCTTCATTTCTCCTTGCCCATTAAGTATTTTCAAGAATTGTTGAAAACTAAATCTAACCGGATAAATAATATATGTCTTTCTCCTTACTTGTTGTTCTGCAAAAAGTTCCTGAAAACATCACGAGCCTCCTCGAAAAAAAAGTGGTGATTGAACATATTATACCAACAATACTGTTGGGGTCCAAAAAAGCTGTGGAATCTTTTGTCCATGTCCAGTAGAATACTAGTGAGATTTGAACAGTGGTTCTGTAGATGTTCATGAATTCTAGGCGTTCCAACACAAATAATATGCCTGAAATTAATTTTTTCACTCAGAATGAAAATCTTCAAATAAATAGAATTTCTAATAAATATTGAGATCGTTGATATAAATGACTATCGAGACTACTCATGCCATAAGAAAGAAGCTAACAAGATTGAACTGGAGAACATGAATCATGATCATTTAGGACCTGTCATCTTACTAAGGGAGGACACGCACTGATTCGACTCGGATCGGAACGGTCGGCACGGCAGCTTATACCGTGCACTGAATCGGCACATTTGGTATGTCTTTAGCAGCCGTCTACACACATGTATTTTGTTTATGGTACAAATCAATTCAAACATAAGTGAAAATCAGTTTATCTGAATCTTAGAAAGATATTTTGATTGCCTTAGCATATGAAGAAATAGAAAAACGGGAATTTAGGTTCTGATCCATAACACTTATCTCAAAAGAGGAAAATTATACGAATGTTGTCATGGTAGTACCTATTTTAGGAAACATACAATATGAATCCTCGCCAAGCTTCCATCTTATGACTTGTCTCTTCAGCCATGTTCTCTGCTAGCTATTTTTCTCTCAAACATGCCTTTCCATGTAGTGGTCGACGGAGTTTCATCTGACTTTCTAATCGTGAATGCTGGTGTTCCGCAAGGATCAATTCTAGCACCAACACTATTTCTACTCCATATCAACGATTTGTTGAAAGCAACTTCATATCCAGTACACAGCTTCGCGGATGATAGTACCCTCAATACCGCCTTCTCTTCCAGGGCTCCAATACCAGCCAGGCAAATCAGAAACGAACGAGAGAGAAAACATAATTATGGACTTCAATGGAGATCCAGTAACTTGGTAGATTTCAATGTAAACAAAACACAAGCAAGCCTTTTTTCTAGAAAAGCCGAACTCACTGTGCCCAACATGAGCTTGTCAGGAGTAACCATACCTCAGAAGACGTCAGTTTCAATGCTTGGTATTACTATCAGCAATAACCTTTCTTGGGGAAATCACGTGAGATCAATTGCTGAAAGTGCATCCCAAAAACTTGGTTTTCTGTTTCGGCCCAGGAGCTATTTCACTTCCAGTCAGCTGCTTATGATCTATGAGGCACAGGTCCGACCTGTCCTGGAATACTGTTCTCATATTTGGAGTGCAGCACCCAAACATACCCTGAAACTGTTAGATTCTGTCCAAAAAAGAGCAATTCGTCTCGTGGGTGATGCCACGCTCACAAACTAACTCACTTCCAAGAGAGGTGTACCCCGAGGCATATAACATCCAGAAATTCAAGAAGAACACCAATTCCTACCTTATTTCCCTTGGTGCTCACGATGTTCTCTGAATATAACAGGATATCCCTTTTCGGAGGAACCAGAACTTTAAAAAAATGATATATCCGCCATTACTTTGTAATTGCAGCCTAGTTCATATACTTTTTTGCCCCAAAAACCGTACAAGCACTGAGAGCAATCGGCGCAATCGGCAGTTTTTGCCCCATCTATCATTCTCTGCCGATGCCGAGACGATGTCTAAGCCAACCGAACCGATTCAGTGCATGACTATGCATTAAGTTACATGCATAGCAAAACGTGCCGACTGTGCCGAGTAGAGTCGACCGATCCAAGTCGATTCAGTGCGCGTGGTCCTTCACTTTTATGGTGGATTCATGCACGACTTAACTTAGTCCTAACTAGTGTTGTGAATGGAAACATTTCCATTGGAATATTGGAAATTTCGTGTTTTGAAAATATTGGAAATATTGAGATTATTGGGAATATTCAAAAATAATTGGGTCTTTTCATAAGGATTCAAATCCGAAGATTTTTTCTCTCTTGTATCCTCGCTTGTATCGCACGACAGGAAATTCCTATAATGTTGGTGGAATATCTTATATCATTATTATTTTGTTTTCACAACACACATAATACATGGTGATTCATTGGAAAATGCGCATTCGGTTAAGGTAGATGGAGGACTTCTATATAATCTATATTTATGGGGTCTATCATTCTTTATAACCAAGATACAGGGTGATTTATTGATTTCTTCTTATTTTTTCAATTAATCATAACTCATGAACCACCCTATGATTTTTTTTTATATGTATTTGGTTTGCATGTTCTTTGTCCACAATGATGATGATTGACATAAATATTGAATATACGGAGTTCGACGATTTAATAACCTATTAACAACATAGGATTTACGTGAGTGTAGTGGCAGTGCGTTTTTTTCAAGAATAACTCTTTAATAATAATGATGATGATAATTATATAATGATAATAATTATAATGATAATTATAATAATAATAATGATGATAATAACAATAATAAAAATAATAATAATATTTATTTATCCTTTGAGACATTACAAAATGTATTGGACAAGTTGATGTGTAAGCATTTTGTTTTCATGTTTCTTATATACAGGGCGAGTCAAAACCATTGAAACATATGCTAAATGCAGATTGTTTGCACCAAAATATGACAATAGGACCAAATATGTCCTGATACAATACTGCTGTGGAAAAAGATACAGGGCATTTCAATCAAAACAGTATGAACTATAAACTTGCACCAACATTCATTCACTGACAAGAAATATAATTCACCAGCAACAATTATCTTACAGTCCAGAGCACACACTCAATTATTCAAATAATATTTGAAATTACCTTCCCAGACTTTCTCGAAAATGGATGAAAATATCGTTTTTAAAAAAAAGTACCAATATTATGTAGAAATAATGTTGGTGTCATATTTTTTATTCAAAATCACTTAAGTACCTAAAATTTCCTCAAAAAAAGTTATCAGTCCATTTCATCATCAGGAATCATTCAGGTGGTCCCCCCTGTTACAAACTAGAGAATAATACATAACATAATATTCCCTGAATAAAATTATGCCTCTGTGGCGATTTTGAAAACAATTCATAAATATACAGTAAAATTATTATCAAAAAACAAAAAACAAAAAATTTCAACTTCAATGCCTTGTATCTATTTCCACAGCAATATTTAATCAAGGCATATTCAGTCCTATAGCTATATTTTGGTCCAAACAATCCACCATTATCCCAATAGATATGACTCACCTTGTATAATACCTATTTCCAATATTTCCATATATTTCCAACGTTTCAGGGAATATTTCCGAAAATATTTCAGGAAATACTCTTGAACATATTTCAGGAAATATTTCCGAAAATATATTTTTTAATTTATACCTGAAATTGAGAAATTGAAAAATTATCACTCAGTATTCTCAAGTTGAGATTAAGATCGCCGTTTCACTGCCTACTTCTGAAACTTTTGTCTAGATGGCGGTGAGATGGCCGTTTGCACTAAAATATGAGAATTTTCAAGACGGTAGTGCGCCACGATATACCCCTAGTACGTATTCGTAGTTTCCTTCTTTCTAGTCAGTTCGGGCAAGTCCTCCATAGGTGTCGGAATACTAGCATCGAATCGGAATAGAATTGATCGATCAATCATAGAATATGAAAATAACACAGTTTATATTCTTGGGTTCAAATATGAATATAGTTTATATTCTTGGGTTCAAATATGGAGTGAAATTCTGGATGTGTGCTTGCTCTTACCGTCCGCGCAAAATATGTAGTATTTATAGGTCTCGATCTCGATCCAGATAATGGCTGACCTGACTTTGTTTACTATGTTTATGTTTACATCGCGAAGCGTAGAACCAAAGAGTAGGGGATGGTAGAACCAGAACCGAGCCGTCACGATTATCATTGTCAGAGATAAATCATGAGGGCTTTGGCAGAACGCGGGAATTTCGCACTGAATTGTTATCTACGAGAATAGTTGGAAACTCAATAGGTATCAAGTGATATCAATATCAAGCATTTCATTCAAAGCAAAAATGTTACATGTGGTCTTTTTTTACAAGCATCATCAAATCTTGCAAGTTAAATTTGACGCACTTTCTGATCGTCCGATTGATTAAAAACTTGGCAGGTGGACATGATTTTGGTGACAATGCATTATGAAATAATTAGGTTTTCGGGGTCGGAGATTATGATTCTCTTGTCAAAATTGAAAAATTCAAGATGGCGGCTCCATGGCGGACTGGTTTTGTGCTTATGATCTGATTCGATTAAAAATTAGTAGGTATCTGGGGGTTTTCGGGGTCGGAGATCATGATTCTTTTGTCAAAAATGGAAAAAATCAAAATGGTGGCAAAATAGTGTAGGTACGAGTTTTGTGATTATGGACCGATTGTATTCAAAATTGGTATCTGGTGGTTTACGGAGTCAGAGATTATGATTCTCTTGTCAAAATTAGAAAATTCAACATGACGGCTCCAAAATGGCGGACGAGTTTATTGTGATTATGGTCCGATTCTATCAAAAATTTGTAGGTATCTACGTATCTATATAGGCTTTTCGGATTCGGAGATTATGATTTTCTGTCAATATAAAAAAATTCAACATGGCGGAATAGTTTTGTGATTATGGTACGATTCTATTCAAAATTTGTATTTGTGGGTTTTCGGGGTCGGAGATTATGATGTTTTGTCAAAATTCAAAAATTCAACATGGCGGCTGAAAAATGGCGGAAGAGTTTTTTTGGTAATGGGCCCATTCTATTCGGTATCTTGGTGTTTTCGGAGTCAGAAATTATGATTTTTAAATTCAACATGTCGGCTCAAAAATGGCGGAAGAGTTTTTTGGTAATGGGCCCATTCTATTCGGTATCTTGGTGTTTTCGGAGTCAGAGATTATGATTTTTTGTCAAAATTCAAAAATTCAACATGGCGGCTCAAAAATGGCGGAAGAGTTTTTTTTGATAATGGGACCATTCTATTCGGTATCTGATTGTTTTCGCAGTCGGAGATTATATTTTATTGTCAAAATTCAAAAATTCAACATGACTGCTCCAAAATGGCGGAGCAGAGTGGTTTTCGGAGTCGGAGATTACCTATGATTTTTTGTCAGAATTTAAAAATTCAACATGGCGGCTCAAAAATGGCGGACAAGTTTTGTGATTATGACTATTCAA